GGGGGCCCCCCCGCCCGGGCCAGTCCCCACACCGTGGCCACTGTCCTGGAGGCGGTGGCGCAGGTGGCCCACCTGCCTGTGGACACAGAAGTCACATTGGAAGTGAATCCCACTTCCGCCCCCCGTTCCAGGCTTGTCGAGTTCGGGGCAGCGGGAGTCAACAGGTTGTCCATTGGCCTCCAGGTAACACCCTCCACCCTCATTCCCTGCACCTGGCCTTCAGGGATGTCTCCCCTAACGTGGCATTTGTTAATCAGGCATTTATTTATTTTTGGGTTTTTGAGACAGAGTCTGGCTGTGTAGTTTAGTTTTTATTTTATTTTATTTTATGTATTTTTGTTTATTTTGAAACAGGGTCTTTCTATGCAGTCCAGGCTGGTGTTGAACTCATTATGTCGAACTCACTACGTAGCCCAAGCTGGATTCAAACTTGTGGCGATCCTCCTGCCTCTGCCCATGGAGTGCTGGGGTTACAGTCCTGCACCGCCACACACAGCTGGTCGTGTACTTTAGGCTGGCCTTGAATTCACTATGAAGCCCAGGGTGGCCTGGAACTGGCTGCCATCCTCCTGCCTCAGCCTCTTGAATGCTAGGAGTACAGGCATGTGCCACCATGCCTGGCTCCACACCATTTCTTATTTTTAGTTTTGAGATAGAGTCTTGCTAAGTCACTTAAGTTGCCCAGGGTGGTCTCAAACTTTCAATCCTTTTCTCTCAGCTTCTCAGAATGCTGGGATCCCAGATGCACACCACACCTGGCTAAAGGGACTTGTTAAGTGATGAAGACGTAGAGAGGCAGGCAGGTAGCTAGATCATTGCAGGTGGCAAATGATGCCTGTAAATTGGTCTCCACGAGAGGCTTTCAGAGTCCAGCATGAATGGCTGCCCAGTCTGATGAAATCCTGGCAGCCTTCCTGGAGCAGGTGACGTTTGAATGAGGGGGAGTTCACAGGTGAGAGGTGTGGGAGGAAAAGACAGGATATGAAGAGCCGTGTGTGTTTTGGGGTGACTGTGAGTCATTCCCTGTAACCTGAGAGGGTGGACACAGGCTGCTAAGCAGGGCCTGAAGGCCTTTAGCACCTAGTGAGGACTTTGGAACTTGTCCTTAGTGGTAGGGGAACCATTGAAAATTTTTAAATGGGGAGAAAGGTAAACCTCTGATCCTTCTGTATCCACTCAGCTAGCATGCCTGAAGCCCTGGGTTCAAGCCCCAACATAGGGAGAGGGAAAGAGAGAGGAGAGAGGTGTTAACTCTCACTCGGATGTGGTACAGTTGTTCTCTAGCAGTTACTCATTAAGAGACATTTTCAAAAACTGGCCTGAAGTCTTCAAAAAAGTCAATGGCAGACAAAGAATAGCCAGAGAATCTGGAATAGATCAAGGGAGACTAAGTAACAAGAACAGCTGAATGTAGCGTGTGAGCCCAGGTAGAGGAAGGAGGAGGAAATGAGCTACTACAGGTGACCTTACTGGGACACTGGCTGTGTAGATGCGACTGTGTATGAGATAATGGTGTGTTATGGGCGTTACACTTCCTGAACACCATCACTGGGACGGATGATGTAAGAGATGTCCTTAGGAAGTATTTCATTCAGTATTTAGGTGTTGAGGTAGAATATCTGTAACCCCAGTGTCCAACACAGTAGCCACCAGCCACATGCTAGTGAGCCCTTGAAATGTGGCTGTTTCAATTTAATTAATTTATAAGCAAGATGTGACAGCGCATGCCTATAACTCCAGTGATTGGGAGGCTGAGACAGGGCTTGGGAGGTGTGAGTTCGAGGCCGGCCTGAACTACATAGCAAAAAACAAACAGGGCCAGCGAATGAGCTCAGTGGTTCCACTGCCTGCCTCACAAGGACCTGAGTTCTATCCCTGGTACCAAAAACAAACAAGTAAACAGATGGTTGGAAGCCAGGCATGCTGGTGAAAGCCTGTCATCCCAGTACTTCAGGAGGCTGAGGCAGGAGGATCTCAAGTTCAAATTAACTTAGTGATGTAGTGAGACCCTGTCTCAAAGCAAAAAAAATAAAAGCCTGGATATATAATCTTCAGCACCGCAGGAAGAGGAAGAAAGGAGCTAATGTTGGAGGATATGAGGATTAAATTCACCCTTCATTGAAAAGCGGCTTTGTCTGCTTTTTGGCTTGGCCTCCGCGCTCCCCCCACTCCAGCTCCCTGCCGGCTGCTGCGCGGAGAGGTGCGGTCCCCGCGTCTGTGTCCTGTGTCAGGGGTCCCGGTCAGGATGCTCCCCCATCTCTCCCCAGTCCCTGGATGACGCGGAGCTGCAGATGCTGGGCCGGACACACTCGGCCCAGGACGCCCTGCGGATGCTGGCAGCAGCGCGGCGCTTCTTCCCGGGCCGCGTGTCGGTGGATCTGATGTTCGGGCTGCCCGCACAGCGGCTGGGGCCATGGCTTGGGCAGCTTCGAGAGCTGTTGCACTACTGCGATGACCACCTGTCCCTGTACCAGCTGTCCCTGGAGCGCGGCAC